TTTAAGATTCCATCTTACCCTAGTCAGACTGGCTAAGATTAAGAGGACAAAAGACTCCAAATGCTAGAGAGGATGTGGAGAAAGAGGAATGCTCATTCACTGGTGGTGGGAATGCAAACTCATGCAACCACTATGGAAAGTAGTGTTGAAAACTCAAAAAACTAAAAATGAACCTACCATATGATCCAGTTATACCACTCCTTGGAATATACCCAAAAGGACTCATTGTACTGTAGAGATACCTGTATATCCATGTTTGTTGCTGTTCTCTTCACAATAGCTAAGAAATGGAAACAACCTAAATGTCCCTCAACTGACGAGTGGATAATGAAAATGTGGTACATTTAACCAATGGAGTTCTCAGCAGTAAGAAAAGATAAAATTATGACATTTGCAGGTTGTGATAATGGGGGTCTAGAACTGGGGAGGGAGGAGGAAGGTCAGATGGGAGGAAAAAGAGTAGACATGAATAAATCTTGGTGGTCTGGAAAATGTGATGCCCCCAAAACCCCATGAGAAAGGCCCATACAGTGTCTAAACATTAATGCATATATATATATATATACCTGGGAACTGCTTGGCAAGGAACCCAGTGCCAGACAGAAGAGACCTCTCTTTCAGTGGTTTGTGAGAGTGGTCAAGGAGACTCCCCAAATAACACAGGCTATTGCCAAACCTCTTGGTTATGTTCGAGAGCTAGTAGATAAGTTTCTACTGCTGAAGACAGGACATGCTTTGGATATAGGACTTGGAGCAAGGGAGCAGGAACTGACCTGGAGGACTTCTATTTGAAATTTAGATATCATAATGCTAGACAATAATATGTAAGCTGTCAAGGGAGAAAAACAATCAGTGGTCCAACCCAGCTCGAAACCCTAATAACCACAAGGACCGGCACAGCAAACTACCTCCATTGGTACAGTAGTGACTGCTATGGGGTGGGGGTGGGGCGGCAGAGATCAACAGCTATCGAATTAGTCTTAAAGCCCTCTCAATGGGAATGAACTCATGGGTGGTATTGTACACTCAGCCAAATATATATGGCAGGAGAGGACATTGATCCTAGAGAGAGCCCTGTCTCTTTCATATCTCTAGACAAATGAAATTTCTTACTATATGCTAAATATGATGGATCCTTATATTTACAGACAAGCATACTGTACACTGCTCATCAAAGAAGCTTCTTTTTGCAACAGATGGAAGCTACTGCAGAACCACAACTGGTCAACACAGAGAATATACGTCTAAGAGATGCCAAGTAGTAGGTGACACATCTACAGTTGAACCTCTATAACCAATGCTCATGGAACAAAGTAGAACAAGGGGTAAAGAGAAAATTAACGCATCCTTTGAGTCTCACCAGTACAGAAGCTTCTTTATACAACAGAGTGTGAGGCACACTAAGGCCACAACTGGTCAAGCTTTAAAGAATAAGACTGCAGAGTGCATATTCTTGGATGGGACTCCGATATTGAAACTTATCCACCCACAGCTCAGGGACCATTGCGGAAGAGGGGGTGGAAAGATTGTAAGAGCCAGGAATTGTTCATGAACACAGGGAAGCAGAGGCTTTCAGGCCACTGGAAGCTTGTGAACTTGTGGCAATGGTGGCATTAAGCACAGGACCCATGACAACTTAATTAAACAAGGACCCAAAGGGGAGGAGAGAAATGGGTGGTGGGCTAGCTCTAGACTGAGAACTATTGGAGACTGATTGATGCTGGATGAGGGAGAGCATGCCTTATATACAATCTCTAGATGGGCTGACTAGACTCTGGTGGATGAATTACACTGAAGGACACCTGGGAACAAATCCTTGACTGGATGGAACTTAATGTGTATGGCAGAATACATGAGGTCTGGTGGGGGGGATGGGGAGCATGGATGGAGGAGGGGGTCTAAATTTGATTAAGAACTGTTGCATGAAATTACAAAAGTGCAATAAAACTTAAAAAGTAATTAAAGGAATCAGAATCATAGTATTAAGACGTTTGAGTTAAAGACTATGTGAGGGATTGGAGAGATAGTTCAGCAGTTAAGAGCACTGGCTGCTCTTGTAGAGGACTTGGGTTCAGTTCCCAGCACCCACATGGAGGCTAACAACCATCAGTAACTCTAGTTCCAGGGTATCTGACCACCCTCTTTTGCCCTTTCTGGGCATTACATGTATGTGGTACATACATACAAGAAAATGCTAATAATATTTTTTTAAAAAGTGAAAAATTCGATACCTTACATAATTGTCATGTTTTAAAACATTTAAACATGGTGACAGCCTATTTAAACCCAATGAGAGCCTATTTAAACCATAACATGTTTAAATACTTGATTTAGACTTGCAATTTTAAATTAAAATGACACTATGCAGATAGACATAGTGGCACATGCCTACAATCCCAGCATTCAGGAGGCAGAGGCAAGAGGATCACCACAAGTTCAAAACCAGCCAGGGTTACATAACAAGACTGTATTAACAAACAAACAAACAAACAAACAAACAATAAAACACTCCAAACCAATCCCCCAAACCTATACTATGTTAAGTTAAATTTCCATTTGGGAATATTTAAAGAACTGATTGATATATTCTTTGTATTTTGCACTTAGAAGAACCATTTAAGTACTCATAAAATTTTACTTGTCATGTCGCATTATTGAAGGACTAAAAAGAGAAATAAAATCCATTAAACATATCCACATTGTATTCAGTATTTTAAACTTTATATTAACCTAAGCCATGAATGAGATGAACATTATCCAAAAATTTTTAAAAACTAACTTCTAATAGCTAGGCTGAGCAATCAGTAAAATAAACAGTAAGATTTTCAAGTTGAACTCAAAAGCTTAAGGAAGAGCCAGGCTTTTGAACTCACAGATGTAATAAATTTAAAAACGTAAGAAGTGAATTAACTTCACTTTTTGAACATGAGCCCCTTCCTCAACCACACCGATACATCAACAGTCTGACAGACATTTGATCCTAAGTCCAAACAAAATCACTCCCTACAAGATATGGATAGAGGTGTACTTTTCTATTCCAGATACATCTTCTTCCACATTGTAATGGGATAGCCTCTTATGTTCACTTTGAATTCTGGGTTCTTTTTGTCCTCAATGAGATGTCGTTGTGACGAATGATGCGATATTAACTGGACCACCCACTGGGAAGATGAAACATGTACCCAGGGTCACAGAAAGGATGGGCTTCAGGTTTGCAGAGGAAATTGATAACTGTTTTTTTTTTTAAAAAGAAATAATCTTCCATGAAAAAGACTAAGTTCATGGTTTAGAGGTATTTTTAATTTTAGGGACATATCGTAAGAAAGTAGTTTGGCCTTTGAGGGTTTAGGACCTCTAAAGTCTATCATCACAGTGCAGAGCTTGTGCAGAACCAAGTAACATCTCAACAGTGCCGTGGCCTGGACCTGACACAAACATGAATGAACAGGACCTCACCTACTGTCTGTTGGTGACAGGTGGCTTCCAAGCTCACTGGGTGTTGTGACAGGTTGTGTTGCAGTTGAAGTCTGTAAAGAAGGAATCTCTGTGACTGGAGAGACAGCTGTCAGGAAACTGCTGTTACTCAAGCCTGAGGGCCTGAGTTTCTCAGAACCTGCCTAAAGAAGTTGGATGTGGCAGCGAGTGCTTGTAATCTTAGTGCTGGGGAGGTGGATCCTTGGGGCTTGCTTGCCAGGCAGCCTAGCCTATTCAACTAGTTCCAGCCTAGTATACCCTTTCTCAAAAAATAAGGTAGGGGCTGGAGAGATGGCTCAGCAGTTAAGAGTACTGGCTGCTCCTGCAGAGGACCTGGGTTTGGTTCCCAACACCTACATTGCACAACACGGGTGCATGTACATACATGCAAACAAGGCAGTCATACTCAAAATAAAAATGAATAATTAAATAAAAACAATCCCCCCAATAAGGTAGATAGCACCTGAAGAATGACACCTGGGGTATCTTTTGGCTTCCATACTCATGTACACACACATATTGGAGAGAATAAATTTTCACTTCAGTGTGTGGTTATTACAGCATCCTGACGAGACTAATACAGCCTCTTTGCCATCCCCCTAACACACAAACACACAGAGCCAGTCCAGGGCCTGGACAGTAACAGATATGCAATAGATAAATTGAGGAAGGAATGAAGGGATGAATGAATGGAAAGCTGTCACCAATTTATATCCCCCTTTTATTGCTAATAAAACTCCTCTTCTGGGCATCATCTCTCTTTTACCCATGTGACTCTAGGTGGGCACTCAAATCCAGCCATCCACATGTGACTGATTGTCCAGGAATAACAATGTGGTCAAATCAGAGCCAGACTGTCATCTGTTCATTGTGAGTCAACTTGAGCCTATTTGCATTTCTGAGTCTGTCTATTCACCCAGACTTATGTGCTATTAGACTGGCTTAGAATGCTCTCGTTTCCCTGGACAACATCATTCTAGAGGATGGGAGTTGATGCTAATAAACTGAGTCCCCAAACCCTGCTTACATCATGTATGTATTTGCGACAAGGTCTTACTTACTGTGTAGCTCTGGCTGGCCTAGAGCTCACTAAGCAGACCAGGTTGACCTAGAACTCACAGAGATGCAGCTGTCTCTGCCTCCCAAGTGCTGAGATCAAAGGTGTGTGCTTCAGCTCTCCTATTTTGTTTGGCTGTTTTCCATCTCACAGATGGAGGTGTGTGTCTTTGACTCCCAGAGGAAATACTTCAACTGATGGAGGTGACCAAAAGGACAGGTCTTATGCTTGTCCCCATCTCTCTCTAGAACGGTAATGGTAATAGAAGAGAATAAAATTTGAAGTTCTTCCCAATTTGGCAATTTTATAGCCTAAAGACATTTTTATTTGAGTTCTAATCAAGAGGCCAATGTCATGTGAACCATGAATGGTTTGGGTGTGGTCATGTATTTATTCATAATATGTTTCACATGTATTAATAACAGAATAACACTTATTCATACACTGAGTATACCTTTTTCTGACATACTCTGGCGTTTGTGTGGAGATGGAGAACACTGCTGGGGTTTTCCTAATCTCTTTGGTTTGGAAGGCTTGGACATGGTTTCTCAAGCAAAGTGTCCTCTGACCATTGCTTCAATACTTCCATTTTGGAAAGTAAGGAATGGTGGGTTCATGGTAGATCAGAAAGACTTGGGCATCTTGTACTCCACAGTTTATTTTTCACACAAACGCTGAGGATGACAGGAAACCCGGCAGGGTATTAGGCTCACAGCCTGAAGAGAAGTCATGTCATTGGCCAATGTTTTCATGTAAAAGGTGATCTCGATGGCTCAGAATCTGTTCCTGAAGTTCTCCAAGTTGCTGAGGGGTGCTGAAGGCCATGCCCATGCTCCGCATCCTTTGTCTTGCTACTGGTAAACTTGGGCATCATTTGAGGATATCTTGGTGAAACAGTGGGAGAACCCCCCCTTTCCCAGTGTCACTCTGTATTGAAGCTGTTGGGGGGGACCCTCCATTTGACTGCAAGGAGTCCAAGGCACCATGGATCAGAGTAAAGCATATTAACAACAGTAACAGTAAGAAAAGAGTCCGGCTACCATCCAAAATAGACATGCCTAAAAAAATTAGTGTAAATAGCAGGTCTGATACTAGCCAAGTGATTCTGTCTGTTCTGAATTGTCCATCTGTTCCTCTCTTTTATTAAGTGTTTATATTTTTTACTCTGAAGATTACTTTAAAAACATACAACATTAGCACCAAGGCAGCATATTTTTTTTCCCAGAGATCACACGAAACGGAATAGATACAGTCTGTGATATTAATAAGTCACTTATTGGCTAATGACATTTTCCTACAATTGCCAAAAATACCCTCCTAACAACTCTTGTAGCACCTTGATGATGGCTAGGTTGTTTGAAAAAATCAAAAACAAAAAGAATTACCATTTTATAAAAGTAACAGTAAAACATTTACAGGTAGAAAGTAAACAATAGTGTACCGTGATAATGAAGGATCACTTTTGTCATAACACTACATATAATGTAGAGTACGTAAAATGCAGCGATCTGACTGCAAGGGACACCGTCATGTAGAGGCAGTCACAATAAAATCATTTTACGTACAAAAATATTACATCACAATAAATAATTTCAACCATAAATATTAAACTTTACATCATTAGGGTATTCCGCAGGTTGAGCATCCCTTGTTTGAAACGCTTCAGGTCATCGGTGTATTCAGATACTCTGTAGCCTTCGTGATACTTGCATATACAAAATGAGACATCTTGGGAATGGGACCCAAGTCTAAACATTTATATTTCTTTCTTTCTGAAACTTTTTTTAAAGCAGAATTGAGAATTATTAAGAGACTTCCATACAGATGTTTAAGCAGTAGGGTTAAGAGAAAGGAAGGTGCTCAGGAAGAAAGCAAGACACAGCCGAGAACATGGGTGTGGGCTTCTCAGGGGAGAGTCGCCTCGTTTGTGTTTCTTATGGACAAAGCTTTATATACACATGGCATAAAGGTAATTTCACATAGCACTTCAAATGATTTTGTGTATGAAACAGTTTCATGGCATGCAATTTTTCATGTAAGATGTCATGTTGACACTCAAAAGATTTCAGAATTTGGAGCATTTCAGAGTTCTGATTTTTGGTTTAGGGATGCTCAACCTGTATATATATGCATATGTACATACATATACACACATACACTCACACAACACAAGCACACGGGTCCTCACACATGCACACAGATGCACCCAAATTTAAGGTGGAGGTATTGTATTACTATCCTTCATCCATCCCATAATGGCTTCCTCTTCAGAGCCCCTGAAATAAAGAAACCAGGAGATATAAAACTTCTGCCTCAAACAAACGCTGTAAGCCAAGAACACGTGAAACAAGCACTTTCACATGCAGAAGTCTAAAATGTCACTTAGGATTTTCTCTGGGTTAAAAGGGGAATTGTTTTACTTCTTTATTTACTTATGTATTTACTATAGAAAACATGGAAGTGAGCTGGAGATGTAACTCAGTGGTAGAGCATTTGTCTAGTAGTGTGAGGTCCTGGTTTGCTCTCCAGTACCATGAAAGAAACAGGGCAGGCAGGATGTCTCAGCGGGTAATGCCACTGGTTGGAAGGAGAGAACCGACTCCTGCAAGTTGCCTTCTGAGCCACATGGACGCTGAGGCATGTGTATGCCGATACACACACACAGATAAATAAATATAATAGAAAAGAAAGAGCCAGGTGTGGTAGTGAACGGGAGGCAGACAGGCAGATCTCCGAGTTCAAGACTACATAGGAAGTTCTAGGCCAGCCAGGGCTACGGACCCTGAGAGAGTATGCAAACGTCAGTAGATTCCCTTCCAGTCTTTTTATATACACGTTTATACATGTCAATTTTGTATATATGTACTCATACATTTTATGACAGATAACATGCACACAATGTAGATATAAAATACAGAAAATGCACATGAAAATGGGGTCTCTAGATCTTCACCCCATCTTCCCCTTTCTGACCTGATCTCAATTTTTTTCCCTTCCCTTCCCTTCCCTTCCCTTCCCTTCCCTTCCCTTCCCTT